ATTGGGAGCTTCGGACGCGGCAAATGGGGCCAAGACGCCGGAAGCTTTGCGACGCAGGACGGGGATGGATTTGGAGTGTTTGAGGCTGAGGTTGCCCGTTCGTCGGAAGAGGCCTGCGCTCAGGTTGGTCTTTGCGGGGATGGGTGTGGGATCCGACGGATCAGGAGTCCAGACTGCACCGGATGAGCTGGAGCGCGGGATGCCGTGTTGTAGTGCTGGAAGTGCCAGAGGCTTGGCAGGCTGAGGCGAGAGTGTGGTAGCAGCTGCGGCGGGGTCGGGACGACGAGAGCGGAATCGAAAGCCGACGCGGCCAGAGTCGAGTCGGACGGCGGTGATCTCAAGGGGCGTGGTGAGACCAAAGTCGTGCGAGGTAAAGTCGGCAGTGGGGTCGGCGGTGACCGTGTCGCGGATGGACTCGAGCAGGGCGAGAGGGATGTCGTGCTGCACCGCAAGGATCTTTACGGCGTTCCAGTTGGTGGTCTCGACGTCGATGGGCGCGGGAGCTGCCAGCTGCGAGGTGGACGACGCGAGTGCCGCCGACGCGTTGGCTGGATGGGCGTCCATATTGTACAAGGCGGGGTCAAGGCCGAGGGCGGTTGAGGATCAATGTAGGGAAGCAGAGCGCACTGCTTCCATCACCGCGCTCGGGTACAGGTACGAAGGCTACGAATACGAGGGGGCTGCTTCAGCGAGCCATGCTATAGTCGCATTGGACGTCCATACTATGCTGAAGGGGTATGAGCGTCGTTTGTATGGTGAGATATAGGTCGGAGCAGGGTCGTGATGGTTCGTTACGAGGGCGCGCGCGCTTTCGTGTCGACGCCACTTCTATGGAGGTGATGTGGCGCAGATGTGGCAACGAAAGTGAGCGTGAAGAGAAGGGATGGAATGGAGGTGGGATGGATGGTGCGGTGCTGGGCGGTATTGAGCAGTCCACCATCGCGGGACGCCTAAATTCGGCTTTTTGGCTCATGGCAAAGAGAGCGCGCGCCGACCTTTCTTTCAGCCTTTGCCTTTGGCCCCCCCTGAGCCTCGACCAGCGGCGGCGAAAGTGGGAAGTGGGAAATGGGAAATGGGAAATTTGAGTGTGAGAGTCAGTGCTGCGCCAGCGTTGTCGGTCGCGACCCTGCTTTGAGCCGCGCCGGGCTGAAATTCATCTCGCTTGCAAGGGCGGCCGATTCGGATGGATCTCGGATGCACTTGATGGCACTCGATGGCTCTGCTATGCCCAGCTGACCCAGCCAGCCAAGGAAGGCGCTCGGAGGGGTCATGGTTGCGCGAAACCAGAATCGCGCTTTCAGGTTAAATGATGGCCTACAGGCTGCTGCCTGCTCAGAACGATTCGCTCATGCAGTGTGCTGGAAGCTCAGGTGGACTGCGTATATGGTGGGCGTGGGCGTATGACAGAAGATGGAGGCTGGGTGACATTTCGATCAGAAAGCTGCAGCACGGGTCAAGGCAGTGAGGCGTCTGTCTTTGGAGCAATGCGGATGGACGACTAGCAGAGATGCAATCACGTCGCCCATGCCAGGCCAAGAGCGCCCGGGAGAAGAGCGGGTGGGTGCCAATCATGAGAGTGGGGAGTGGATCACATGGCCAGCTCGGCCTGGAGCGCGCGGAGCTCGGCATCGTCGTCGTCCTCCACCACCGCCTGCTTGCGCTCGGCCTCTTTGGCGCGTGATGGACCGGCGGAGACGGCGGGGGTATGCAGAGGCACCGAGTCGGCGCCGACGAGACGCTCGTTGAGCTCGTCCTGCTCGAGCTCCTCGAGCTCATTCTTCAGCTCGTCCTCGTCGATGTCGTTGCCCATGCCGACGGGGTTGGAGATGGCGTCCGAGATCTCGTTGGTGAGGTCCATCTGTTCGCGGATCGAGTCCATGGTGGAATCGACCTTGTCGATGTTGAGGCTGCCGTGGATGGTCTTGAGCGCGTCGGCGCCCTTGCGCATGGCGGTCATGGTCTCGAGGTTCATGTTGGCGCTCTCGATGGCGTTGACCTGGGTCTCGAGCGTCATGCGCGTGCCTGCGATGCGATCCAGCTCATTCTCGTACGCCTTTTTCTGGCGCAGCGCCGCTTGTGCCGCGCGCTTATTTGTTGTGACGTTGGCTTTGGCCTTTTTCAGCTCGTCGTCGATCTTCTTGTTGAGGTGCTCCTCCTTCTTCTCGAGCATGAGCAGCTGCTGCCGCAAGCCTACTATCGCATCGCGCGCCGAGTTCTTGTTGTCCTTCTTGCCGAAGAGGTTCATCCAGCCCGACATGTTGGCAGATGTATATGTGCGTGTGCACTCAGTGGGGCAGGGTGAGGGCTTCTATGCGCGTATGGCAGCGGCGAAGCGGCAGTCCGAGATTACGAGATCCTTCGTCGAGCTTACAGCGTTGCGCCGCTTGTGATTGCGAGACCGTCCGGGCTGTGTCGCTAGATAAGGTTCCGTGCCGGTGAGATGGACCGAAAGCGCAAGCTGACCGAAGAGAATCGGTTACCGAGCCGGGGGCGATGTTGAAGCGTGGGCGATAAAGGAGTCGAGTGGTGAATGGTGCTTTGTAGGGGTGTGGATGCGATGCGATTGTAGGTAGGATGGATGGAGGGCAGACGATGCGACGTGTGGAGAATGGCAGCGATGGCGCGTGGTTGATCGCTAGCCGATCTGTTGAGACCCAAAAGGGCCCTGCTGGGCTCGCTCGCATCACGGCCCGACTGACGAGCTGCCGTCACCGCGAGCTAGCTGGCTGGCTGGCTGGCTGGCTGAGTCGCGCAGGGCAGCAGCCATCATCGCCCGTTTGCGTCGATTTTGCTTTACACTACTTTCAACTCCACTCGCGCCCGTCCACTCGCTCGCCCTCATGCGCTGTGATGAGGCAGCACACAGAACTGTGAGGGTGGAGGCTCGCGCGAAAAAAGGGCACTGTTATGCCGACGCCAAGTGCAGGTTTGGAAAACTAGCCTCGCTATCCGGCCTCCAAATCGGCGTTCTTGAAAGAGAGGCGCATGCTGTTCGGATGTCTCCGATGAGCATCAGCTTGGTTCCATGGTCACTGTCACACTCCCACAGGTGGTCGTATCGGCACATCCGAAGGCGAGTCATTGGGTTCGGGTTCGGAACATCCTCCGGGTCAGTGGTTGCACAAACCGTCATTAAAAGGCGCAGAGCAGGGTCAAGGCAAGAGCTGCACGTCACCATGAACATGCTGTCGACTTCGCGCCGGATGCTCAGCTGGCAGCCTGCCTGTCGGGGCTTGGCCACGCTGAGCAGCTCCAACAGCGTGCGTCCCTTGATCGCGTCGCTGCCGCCCCGCTCCAAGTACCCGCCCAAGCAGCCGGAGCTCGCCGTCGACCATCTCATCGTAGGTGGCGGTGTGGTGGGACTTTCGATCGCCGCCGCGCTCGCCGCACGATGGCCCGAAAAGACCACCTACCTCGTCGAGCGCAACAAGTCGTTTGGCGAAGAGACCAGCTCGCGCAACAGCGAAGTCATCCATGCCGGCCTCTACTATCCCGCCGACTCGCTCAAGACGCGACTCTGTCTGCGCGGGCGCGAGCTCATGTACGAGCGCTGCACCCAGCACCGCATCCCGCACAAGCAGACGCAGAAGCTCGTCGTCGGCGGTGACCATGCCAAGTCGTACCTCGAAAAGTTGCAGCAGCACTGCGCCTCTCTGGGCCCGTTGGCGCCACCCACACGGCTCATCTCCGGCAGCGAAGCGCGCGAACTCGAGCCGCACCTTTCTCGCAACATCGGCTGGGCGCTACTATCCGAGCGCACAGGCATCGTGAGCAGCCACGAGCTCATGGCCAGCCTCGAGCGCGAGCTGCTCGACGCCGAAAACGCCGAGGTGGTGTACGATACCAAAGTGGTGCGCGTCGACCCGAGCGAGGTGCGCGCCGTGAGCGCCAGCAGCAAGCGCGGCGACGACGGCTCCAACGACGGCTGGATCGTGCAGACCGTGACGTCCGAGACAACCGGCACCACCAGCGAGGCAGATGCGCTTCTAGCCAAGGTGGTGATCAACACGTCGGGACTCAATGCGCCCATGGTTCTCAACTCGCTGCTGGCCGAGCTGGGCTCGGACGAAGCGCCCATCCCCATGTGGCACTCCAAGGGCAACTATGCATCCTACAAGGGTCGTGGCGCCGACGGCATCCGCCACCTCATCTACCCCGTGCCAGATACGCGCAACAAGGGGGCGCACGCCCACACGTCGCTCGGCACGCACCTCACGCTCGACCTCGACGGCAACGTGCGCTTTGGGCCGGACACCGAGTGGATCTCGCCGCCCGAGACCACAGCCGACACGCAGCAGGCGGTCGACTTTTGGAAGCACGCGCTGACCGTCGACGAGGCGCGCATCGAGTCCATGTACGCCTCCATCACCGAGTACCTGCCCAACATTGACAAGGCGGGACTTGCGCCCGACTATGCCGGCATCCGACCCAAGCTGATCGGGCCGGAGCACAAGGCATTTATGGACTTTCAGCTGCTCTGGCACAACTCGAGCGACTTGCGTGCGCAGCGGCTATGGCAGCGCGCGCCCGGTCTGCCCAGCCCGAGTGCGAGCTGCGTCTCACCCGCGAGGCAGAGCGTGGACCGGATCCAGGGCGGTGCGATGCTCAGCCTGCTCGGCATCGAGAGTCCCGGTCTCACATCGTCGCTCGCCATCGGGGAGATGGTGCGCGACATTGTCGCCCAGAGCTTCTACAACGAGAAGGCCACGCGCCAGCCCAGCCCAAACAAGGGCGCGCGCAACGAAGAACATGCGCATCGCCTCGATGCGTGGGCCTAGATCCATACCAGCCGGCGAATACAATCTGCATCGTGAAAAACGTCGCACAGCCAATGCTGCTGTCCATTGTCATGTGTCTGTGCCTGTGGTGCATCTCCATGTTTCTCACACACGAAGTGTCTTTTTTCTTGTCGTCGGAAAAGAGAGAGAGAGAGAGAGAGAGAGAGAGAGAGAGAGAGAGAGAGAGAGAGAGATGGGATCAAAGCAAGACCAGCAAAGGATTTACTCGAGCTCGACAGTGCCGCCGGCAGCCTCGATGGCCGCCTTGAGCTTCTCGGCGTCTTCCTTGTTGAGGCCCTCCTTGAGCACCTGGGGTGTAGACTCGACGAACTTCTTGGCCTCGACCAGGTTCCTGTATCAAAAGCAAAACCACAGCGTCGTGATGATGTCAGTATGGGCTCTTCTTGTCTGCATTGTTTGCTCCACAAGCTTCCCTCGTCGAGTCGGCTAATGGGAGATCTGGCCGAGAGAGCTGCACGGGAGATGAGGGAAACGCACATATTGGAGTTGGTAGCCTTGACTTCGCGGATGACCTTGGCCTTGGCGGTAGGATCCTTGAGGCCGGTGAGTTTGAGGGTGAAGACGGTCTTCTCCTTTGGCTTGGCGGCCTCCTCTACCTCCTCTGCAGCGGCTGGGGCGGCGGCAGCGGGGGCCGATGCGGCGGGCATGGCGATCTCGGTGATGTTGAGGCGCGTCTTGAGTGCGCTGACCAGGTCCGACGCCTCGAGCAACGTCAGCTTTTCAATCTGGTCCACGATGCCCGAGATCTTGGCATCCACCGGTGCCGCATTGCGAAGCGTCGAGGTGGAGCTGAGGCTTCGAATCGAAGAACGAAGGACGGGTCGCGAGGCCCGCAGAAGGGTCCTCGAAGACGAAGCTACCGCACTGCCAAGCATTTTTGAAGCAAAAAGGTGATGATGGATGGTGGAAGGCAAATCTCCAACACCATACAAATCAAGACGTCTTCCTCTCGACCCAAGCTTGCTCGCCAAGGTCAACTTCGCGAAGGACCGGACCAGAACGAGAGAGAGACACACCCAGCCAGAGGCGATCTCTCTCTCAGCCCAAAAGGCCAATTTTTTCCAACCGTCTTCCCCTCTCCTTCGCGCCCGATTTTGCCAGTTCTTCCCAAAAAGCCCTGAAAAATCGGCGCGCCTTAGGTCACACGCCCCCGGCTCTCCATTCCTTCTCGCACGACAAAACAAATGCTGCCCCCAGCTCAGCTCGATTCTCTCAAGCTCTCTCACACATCGACACTCTTCAGGCTAAGGGATTGAAGGAGGGGATGGCAGAACTTGCATTTCGTCCTGTCAGTGCGCGAGCGACTTGATCAAGCACGCCACACACAGAGGCGCAGCGGCCCAACTTCAACTCGCACATGGGAGGGGGGGAGAAAAGTGAACACAAAAAACGAGCACGCTGAGGCTTAGGCACTGGGCACGGAGCACACGGCCAGGCAGAGAGCGCGCTCAGGCAGCCGCACCGGCACGCGGGGCGGCAGCAGCAGCGTCAGCGACCTGAACGCCAGCGCGGCGCTCAAAGCCATTGGCCTGCACCTGCGCCTTGAGCTCGTCGAGGCCGAGCAGCTTGTCGGTCCAGAGCGGGTTCTCGCGCGCCGTCTTCTCGGACGCCTTGAACAGGTCGGCGAGTGCATCTTGGCCCTCGGGAGCGGCGCGCAGGTCAGCGACGGTGCGCAGGCCCAGATGCTTCCAGATCTCGGTGAGCGCGTACACGAGGTGGTCCACATCCTCGGACGTGTGTCCGGGCGTGGGCGTGACACGCAGCCTCTCGAGGCCGCGCGCCACCGTAGGGAAGTTGATCGGCTGCACATAGCAGCCAAACTCCTCGAGCAGCATGTCCGAGGCCGCCTTGGCCTTGGACGCATCGCCGACGAGCACGGGCACAATGTGCGACGGATTGTGCTGCAGCGGGATGCCCGCGGCGATGAGCTTGTCCTTGGTCTCGCGCGTGCGCAGCTGCTGCAGGATGCGCGAGTCGTTCGACTGCATCAGCACCTCGATCGCCTTGTTGGCACCCGTCAGAACCGCAGGCGGCAGCGTGGTGGAAAAGATGAACTGCGGCGCAAAGCAGCGGATCAGATCGACAAAGCGGTTCGAGCCGGCAATGTAGCCGCCGACGTTGCCGTACGCCTTGCCGAGCGTGCCGGTGATGATGTCGATGCGGTCCATCACGCTGCCCTTGAGCAGGCCGGGCTTGTGACCCTGGGCGACCTGCGCGTCCCAGTCGAGATGCTCGGCGACACCGGCGCCACGCGGGCCGTACATGCCCACGGCATGCACCTCGTCCAAGAAGGTGATGGCGCCGTACTTTTCGGCGAGCTCGATGGTCTTCTCGATGGGTCCGACGGTGCCGCACATGGAATAGACCGACTCAAAGGCGATGATCTTGGGCACGTCGACCGGGAGCGCCTGGAGCTTGGCCTCGAGGTCGTGCATGTCGTTGTGCTTGTAGATGACCTTTTTGGCGCCCGAGTGCTTGATGCCCTGGATCATGGAAGCGTGGTTGGAGGCGTCGGAGAGGATGACGCAATCGGGCAGCTTGGAACCGAGGATGGTCAGCGTGGCGTCGTTGGCGGCATAGCAGGAGCCAAAGACGAGCGCGGCATCCTTGCGGTGGAGCTGTGCGAGCGTCTGCTCGACGGTCTCGACGTGTCGGTTGTGGCCGGCGATGTTGCGCGTGCCACCGGCACCGGCGCCATACTTGTCGAGCGTCTCCTTCATGGCCTGGAGCACGGCGGGGTGACGGCTCATGTTCTGGTAGTCGTTGGCGCACCACACGGTGATCTCGTCGGCCTCGGCGGAGAGATGGCCCCTGGGAGCGTTGCCGGCGAGACGGTTGATGTTGTTAAAGTAGCGGTAGGACTTGTCGGCATGCTTGGCCTGGAGCTGGTCGTGGTAGAACTGCTCGTAGTGGAAGCCGGGCCGGTTGTGCGGCTCGGGGTCCGGGTGCATACCGAGGCCGGAGCCAGGGGTGCGCACCTGCTTATTCTTGATGCTCTTCCGGCGCTGGTGCTGGGGAAGCGAGTCGCCGGCAGCAGCGGCGGCGGTGGCGGCGGCGGCGGCCTCGGCAAGCTTGCGAGCGTGGGGGCACTTGTCGACGTTGGCCTGGTCGTCGAGCTTGATGCCCTCCTTGGCGTGGAGGCGCTCGATGTCGTCGGGCTGGGCGACGGCGGCACGGGCAGCCTCGGAGCGCGAGACGTAGTGGCGAACCTGCTGGGCGGCGCCACCGTTCATCTGAGCCGAGAAGGGGCAGCCGGCAGCAGCAGCCGCGGTGGGCTTGGCGGCCATGGCGAGGAAGGAGCTGCCGGAAGCGCCAAAGGTCGGGGTGAAGGTGTTGGCGGCGGCGCCGCTGTTCTGCTCGGCCTTGATGGCGAGGCTCTGGCTCATGACGGGGCACTGCTGGGCCTGGGTGACGAGGCGCGTGGGTCCACCCGGGTGGAGGAGCGTGGTGGACATCTGTCGGAGCTGCGGCATGGAAACGCGGCCCATGTAGGGGCAGGCCTGGCGGATCTGCCTGAGCGGGCAGAGGCTTCGATCCATAGTGTCGGCTTGGACGCGATGAAGGTAGGTTGGTAGTGTTGGTGAAAGGAAAGAGGTTCGGAGATGCCTGCTGGTGAGGGAGCAAGCGGATGCGATGAAGTTGGGAAGAGGAAGAAAGCCGTGAGCGAAATGTGCCTTCTGAGCACCTTCGGGGCGGCAGCGTGGCGGACAAAAGCGCGAAGTCGGATTGGCCGACAGACAGATCTGAAAGGCTCTTCCTTCGGGCGTTGGGGCAAAGCCGGAGCGTTGCCGATGCGCTGCCCTCCTTTGGCCCTGGCCAGCCTGAGCCCTCTCTCTCTCTCTCTCTCTCTCTCTC